GAATGGTAAAAGTGACAACATTGATCAACAAATTTCAGCGAATTCAAATTCAAAGGCGAATAGGCTAACCCAATATCTAAATGTTGTTCAGACTTTTAAGTTCATCTCTTCAATCTACATCTAATGGGAAAGGCATTATCATCACGATCAACAAATTTCAGCAAATAACTTTTCAAAACACATGTAGTTATATAGCGGTAACCAATGAATTTTGTGACTCGCTCAGACAACGTGAGTTTTGTCAAAAAAAAAAAAATAACTGGGACTGAAACTAAACAACTTAAAATCTTCTAAAATACAAACTCCTTGTTATTATCTTACACCACATTCACCCAACGCTTAGGTAAGCATGTTTTAAGGCTATTTTGTTAAAAACAGTTTAAGCTGCTTAAAAAGATGTTCGTCGGCTTCAAATTTAACACATTGAAAATACAAGTTATTGACTACTTGAATCCTTTATAAAATTCATATTTTCAGTTCTCAGATTCGTATTTTTGTTCAGTTAAATCTGGTGTAGCTAAAACATGTTTTGCTGGTGTGGATGGGGTATTAGTGTTAGTCGCATCAACACTATTCACACATGGGCCACAGTGTTGGCTTCAAGCTTTTCTAGCTATCTTTTAGAAGAGAATATCTCCCATTCAAAAAATGCTAAACTTTGAGCAAAACATTGTTATACTGACTTACTAGTGGACACAGAAGGCCTGACTTTGCTGTCATTTCCTATTCATATATATATACCTTCGCCTTGACGATCACACTATGTGATTGGCTACAGCTAAAAGTCGGTTGAGTTGCTCTACTCAAGTTAGGTGCTATTCTTCAGTTATTAAAAGACTGCAATTCAACTGTCCACACATTTCCGGCATCACCTAGATTAACATGTGAGCCCTTCTTTGTAAAGTTTCCATCGACTGCATATGGAGAAATGGTTTTCATCCTCCTCTTGAATCGCTCTCTAATCTGTAGATGAACAGGCAACCAAATATCTGTTGTTAAGCAATCAAATGTTTAATTTATGCCTAAAAACTTCACAATTCGCTTTCATTATGTACATTCTCAGTCTCACCTGGCTGTTTCGCATACAGTGAAGGGCGAAAATCATGAAACCCTAAAAGCAGATCATTCTTTTAAGATCATTTTTTTTCATTGTAATTGGTCAGTATAATAATGTTTTGAACAAGTCATAGGGTAGGGCTAGTCTTTGTTGACAAAGTTTGCATAGAGTTCAAGGTGTATGATGCTCTGATCATTTGTTCATCTTTGAAACCACCGTAACGGAGGGGTAAAATATTGATTCAAAGTACGTTGTAGATCACATGAATCGAGAAATAACTTATCAACTGTTAGTTAGTGTCTGTTTTTACCTGAGGTGTAGTTTGATGCAAGCCTTTGATTAAAATTTAACAATTTCTGTTAAAAGCTTACCTGAGTGGAGTTTAAGAGGGTGAAAATGTAGGCGAAAGCTTTGTGTAATGGTAACAAAAGACCAAATAACCACGTGACACCCAGCAGTGGCACCATCACCACGCATGTTTTCATGCCAAGTCTGAAGAACGACAGCCATATAAGTTTTGTGGACTAATTTATAGAAGCGTTTTTCCTTCACTCAATGTCTTATTGTTTAAGATTAACTAGAGTGGAACTTAGGAAAATCCATACCACAGGAAAAGTTGAGACAACGATTCTCTCACATTGCTTTATCCTGTTTTCCTTAGATTTTGTTTATTAGTACTAATTTTTAAAATGCTGATTTAAAATCCCACCGTAACTGCTGGAAACGCTTGTCTTCCACCAATGGCTGCACCAGTGTGCTCATCTCTTTATGGACCCGGATGATTATCAATATGTTGAACTGAAAAAAAGAAAGGAATGTGAAATGTGTCGTCGAAAAGAGGAAAAATGTTAGTCGTCTTGTTACGAGCGTTAGCGAAAGAAAAAGTCTGAATCCCTCTCTGTGAATTGAACCCTAAATCTTCATGTAAGGAGAACTAAATGCTACAAGGAGAAATGCCCAAAAAAATCATGCAAGCAATTATAATAGGGAAGATTGCAAACTTCGGGGCAGGTCGTCAAAAACAGAAGCGTGTTCATGTTTTTTGTTAAGGATTAAGGAGCAGGGGAAAAAGAAGTATTCAATAGTAGTAAATCCCGGTAAATAAAAAGTAATAAAGTGGCCTCAAAAACTCACAACTTCAATGAGCGCCACAAATGCGACGAATATCCAGATCAGGTTGTTAGTTGAGGACAGCCAACAACTTGAAAGGTAAAAGGAGAACATAAGATAAACACAGATTTGCGGCGATAAAACCCCAAACCCACACCCTTTACCGGTAACAAAACATCTAGAAGAGAAACAATAAAAAACAACAAATATTTTGTAGCGAAAAGAGAGAGAGTGGGAAGGCACAAAAGATGAAGAGACAAGTACTCAATAATTATCTTACTATTTGTCACTGATATAACTTTGAATTCCATCTTTTCCAGCCGCAACGCTCAATGAAATGCCTACCATGACGATCGGAAAACCTAAACAGAAATAGGAGGGGGTCACTACAGAATCACACGCAGAATCACAGAGGCGATTCAAAAGAGGCAGGTACAAAAAACTCATACGTGAAATGAAAGTACCCCATGAGATGATGTGATACGTGTGCATCTTGTCGCCAATGTTATAAACTTTCATAGCAAACAGATAAAGATAAACTCCCTCGACCATCATCCAACAGAAAGCGGCCATCAGGAAATACTGTGAGAGAACTGCTGCTGTAACACAGGAAGCCTAAGAGAAGAAAAAGGGAGATTTTTGTCTGTTTCAATCCTCCTTTCTTCGGAATAACTTAAGCCCCCAAAGAGCAAATATACCGTGAATGGATGAAGAAGTCACTTACCCTATTTTCTGTGGCCTTTATACCGGCGAGAAAGATTATTTGACCAGCTCCGAGTGACACAGAAAAACTCAATCGTATTTGAGAAAGAGGCTGACGAACATCTCTGGTGAAACAAGTGAACAAACAAAATGACAAACAAACAAAAAACCAAAAAAAAGTATTATTCGGCAACGAATGCTTCTAATTTCATGTGATACTGTTCCAGTTAAGGCATTTAAATCACTGTCGCTCAGAGATCCAGATTTGAATTATCCTTATTCGTTTCTGCCGTAATTATTTATCATTAATTTCGTTAATTCATTTTTTTATCGCGTATTGATGTAATTTGATTCGAAAATCTTTAAAATCAAATAAAGAATAAGTTCTTTAGACGTATGCATGGTTGTGCTACTTACGTGATGAAGGAATACACAATAATTGTCAAAAGTATTCCGGTGATAGAAAAGCTTAATCCCACTTTGGTGATAATTTGCAGAATAGTCTCGTCCTCGGCCGTAAGCTGTGTCACAAATGACATAAAGAGAAATAAGAAAATTGTTACCAAATCAACGGAATTGTACCTATGATGAAGCTGAGAAGATAAAATCATGTCTCTCTGGATATCAACTATTGCGATTGTCTTTTTATTAAAAATATTATCAATTCATGATGCCTTTAAAACGTAAGCCTGTGCTACCTCTCTAAAACGTGGTTGAAGTTAATCTTTTTTTTTTAT